AAGCAAGTTTTTAAGCAAACAATCCTTTGCAAAGGTGCAAGTGAGAGTCAGGAGTTCAGGGACCCATAGGAAGTGGGAGCAGCCATGGTGGGAGCTTCCCTGCTCAGAGGGAGCTTTTATGGTTGCAGGATTTGTGTGCCTGGATGTCAAGTAACAGGAAAATCAAGGTTGTAGGTGCAGTTTTAATGGGTTGGTGTCCATGTGCTGAGGGGTGAATGGATCACACACTCCTGCAGCTCCACCCATCTTTGTTCCCTTGCAAGGTGCCCCATGGACAATGAGCTGCCAATTCAAAAGGTTTTCCTCCAGCTCCCTCACCTTTGCTGTGGCTTTGCCAAAGAGGACCCATGGGATGTGCTGTGTGATGCCCAGAGAAGAGCAGCTGTCCATGTGGGAAGCTTTGCAGCAAAACCAAAGTGACACAGTACTGGAGGGGCAACCATGAAGTCCATGGCATGTTTTGGTGCCTGACTGCCTTGGTGGATCCCTCTGTCCTCTCCTCCCTGCTGCTGCCAGCTCACACCTCCTCCCAGTGGCAGCAGTGGTGTGGGGAGGTGGCTCCACACACCTGCAACGATGGCTCTTATGCTGCTGGTTTGTGGTGAGCTGGCAGTGGGGCCAGAGGGGTTCCTAGCAGCAGCACCTTGCCAAACCCCTTCAGCTGCTTGAGAAACTGCCCTTGCTGAGCACAGACCTGGAGGAGCTGTCTCTGTAGCTGCCCCAGCTCTGCAGCTGCTGTGAGATTTCAAGTCTTGCCTCTCTGGTGGGATGCCGTGTGGGAATGCCTCGCTGGGGTCGCTTGTGCTGGCTCCTTGCGATTCAGGCAACTGCATCACATAATCTCTTAAATAAACCCATCAAGTTGCAGACTTGGCTGGAGCCTCCTGCAGCCTGGGGCAGTCAGTAGGTTAATCCAGAGCTCCTCCGGGCCTGCCATCGACCCCTTTGAAGTCGCTGCAGCTTAGGAGTGAACACACTTTCTCAGGAACACTGGCATTTTTACTAAGCAGGAGACTCTTATTATCTGAGCTGAGAATGCAGTGATTTCCTTCTCCTGCCAGTAATCCCCTCTCAGGGCACTGTTATGCTCTTTTACAATTTATTTTCTCTAATTGCAGTTAGCAGTGGCCACGCAGCTCTCCCTGGGGGAGCTATTGCACTTTGAAAGGAGCTTAGTCCTTCCCTTCTGGCCACTAGGACTGGGCAGCAATTCCTCTCCAGGTGCTTCAGCAAGAGTCCTGCCTGAAAAATAAGCCTGTGCTTTTCAACTGGTACCTGATACCTGTGGTCTAAAGTTCAGCTGTTTCACACATCCTTTGGGAGCCCTGATAAGCTGCCCTTGACTGAGGCAGTCAACAGATGCACAGTAGCAGTGCACCAGGTATGATGCTTGGCTGCTGCTGCTGCTCTGGCTCTCATCCTGCATATGGTCCCTTGGTTTCACCTGGACACCTGTCCAATCCATGAGCAGACAGTTTCTCCAAGAGAAATGCTGTGGGAAACAGTGTCAAAGGCTTTACTAAAGTCCTAGTAGACAACATCCGCAGCCTTTCCAACCCGTCCACCAAGTGGGACACCTTATGATAGAAGGAAATGAAGTTGGTCAATTAGGATCTGCTGTTCATGAATCCATGTTGGCTGTGCCTGGTTGTCTTATATGTGCCACCTGATGGCACTGAAGATGATCTGCTCCACTGCCACATTTGCTAACCTCCAGTCCCCTGGGACCTCCCTGGGTAACCAGGACTGCTAGCAAATGATGGATAGTGGCTTGGTGAGTTCTTCTGCCAGCTCCCTTAGTACCCTTGGGTAGATCCCATCCGGCCCCAAGGACTTGTGTGTATCTAAGTGGTGTAGCAGGTCCCTGACCATTTCCTCCTGGGTTATGGGAGCTTCATTCTACTCTCCGTATTTGTCTTCCAGCTCAGGGGACTGAGTACCTGCAGCACAACTGGTCTTGAATATTAAAGACTGAGGCCAAGAAGGCGTTAAGTGCATCTGCCTTTTCCTCATCCTTTGCTGTTGTGTTTTCCCCTGCATCCAATAAAGGATGGAGATTCTTCTGAGCCCTTCCTTTGCTGCTAATGTATTTATAGGAACATTTTTATACTCTGCTGTGTGTGCACAGCTACAGTGATGGAGGTTGTAAAACATGAGCCCAGCTCAGCCGTGCGGTACCTTTGCCTGCTGAAGTGGCAGTGCCTGGGTGTGAGTCTGATGCTGTGCTTTGTCAGGATATTCACTCTACTTCAGCCAGACCTGCAAACCATCTGCATTAAATGGCAGCTTTTGAAAATATCCTTGAAATATAAAGAACAAGAAAAGAAAGAAAAGGCTGAATTTTCCTCCAGCAATGGGAGTTTCAGTAATGCTGTATTATGAGCGGGGCAGATTTTACCAACAGCAAATCCAGGCTGTGGGATTTCCTAGGGAATCAGAAGCCTGTTTTTGCTGCTGTGATGTGGCATCCCCTCTGTTTCCCTGTGAGGTGTCCTTGTGGGAGCAGAGAGGACTGACCCACAAAGTTTCGTCCTCTTTGAAGTGCTCGGAGCTTGGCTGTGGGTCACTGCAGCTGGGGATTTAGTGTTCCTGCAGCCAGGCCTTTGCAAGGAGTATTTCAGAATAAGCAACTACTACAGGAGGTGGGTGGGAGAGATTTTGGATGTGTAAGACTCCTTTTTTACAAAGTTTTATTGTTTCTCGCATCTATTAATAGGGCAGCAGGAGTCTCCATATGCTTTTATAGTCCCTGTTGCGCTTTCTAATGGATATATGCAAAAGCTCCAAGGCGCATAAAATAGGCACTCTCAGCCAGTTATTATGATAAAAATTATGTGCATGTCATGACCTTTAAAGCAGTGGGACTGTGTGTGCATGCTCTTCTGATACACCACTGTTCTCCGTTCCTTTCTGAAGCGTTTCTCGCCGTAGGAGGTTTGCATAGGAGCTTGGAATATTTTTCTAATCAGCGAAGAGTCTTTTGGCTCTGATGATATCTGGCAAAGCACAGAGGAGCGAGAAAAGGGAAGAGGGATGACATTTTCTAAGGCAACTAACAGAGAAGAGGTTAAAGGCGAATGGTGAGGCACAGCATGAAAATCCTGGCACCGTCTCCAGTGCTGTCAAAAAAACACTGGTCCAAAAAATTCTTTGTGCTCTTTGAGGCAAAAGCTATTCTGGGGCTCTTGAGGATAAGGAAGGAAAAAGAAGTTTTGTAATCCATGTGCTTTCTTTAAAGAGACTTTTTTTTTTTTGTTTTAAAACTTTTAATAACAGTGCAACTAGAGTTTGCTCTGCTTGCACAGCCCACTCTGTGTCAGACTTGCTGTTGTGCCTGGAGAGATTTGCCATCTTCTGTATGGGAGTCAGGAGCAGGATGGTGGCTGTGATGGTGAGGGAGGCATGGAGAGAGGGCTTTGTGTCCTTACACCGCTGCATCCCTCCATCTGTGCTGTTAGGAACAAAAATGGTTGTGCTGGGTTTGCTGGGACAGTCCTGGTGTGAGTGTCGGGAGCTGTGGACAAAACGCTTGAGCAGCACTCCTGGGAGTTGTGCAGGCAACAATGGGATAGAGACACTGGTTGCAGAAGTATATCAATGAATTTCTGCTTTGATCACTGCTTACACCACAGCTTTCTGATGCTAGGGTGGGGGGCAGCAAACAGCACCCAGTCCCTGTCCCACCAGGCATCTCTGCATAGCGTGCACATGGGAAGAAAGAGTTGGAAGTCCTGGAGATGTGATGGTCTTAAAAGCTCTTGAGTAGCATGAGGGATTATGCAGGGCGAGCAGCAAGGCCTGACATTGCTTGTGATAGTGTTGATACCAAACCCCCGTGGAGACGTGTCAGGCCACGCTCAGCTGCATCCCATCCTTAACAAATGGGGAGAATAACATTTATGGCTTTAAAAATTAAACACTCCCTTTAATTATTGAACATGAATAATTTTCATGCAAATTGAGCTTGGATGTGTGTTTCCAGAGTGACACAGTTGAGAGTGGTTACATCATGGGGTGTCAGTGACCTGTGAACCAAGAGACTGTTCATAATTTTTAGCATTTTATGCCAAGTACCCTGGAGGGTGGGATGTGGGCAGCTAGAGAGAGTTAGCCAAAGATAAAGACTTTAGTTTGCATGGGTGGCCTCCCCTTCTAATGCTTTAACATGCAAACTGATGTCTGTATGTATGTCTGTTGCCTTTACATATTGGAATATGGATATTTTGGAAGTCTTCTGATTAGGAGAGCTGTAATTAAAGGAATAACTGTGCAGTGACTGTGCTGCTGGGGACTCTCCTGCTCACCTTTTGGCACAACCTGATGTGTGTGAGAGTGGTCCTGGCTGGGCACCTACAGATGGACGTGGCATCACTGGCTTTCAGCATCTCTTTGGACCAAGGAGCAGCACATATCCAGGGCAGATGAAATGTTGAGTGAGCCCTGTGGATTCAGGAGCACTACAGCACTGTGGGGGCTTTTCCAATGGCTTTTTGAGGGCACTTAGTGCTGGAGGTTGAGTGGAATATCCTCTGTGATTAAGCTCCTATAAATATTTTCCTTTTCATAATGGAATGTCAGCATTTGCTGTTTCCTGGTTTTAAACACTGTACAGTTTGTCAAACATTTATCTCTGCCTTAAATTAAGTCTGGAGATAGAACTCCTGTTAATTTCAAATCAATATGAAAGGGGGAGAGAAAGAAATTGCAGTCTAGACCTTTTCTTGAATCAATATTTTCTTTAAAAGCTGAAATGTTAACTAGTTCATAGGGGGTTTTTTTGCCATTTTGAAATGTAGCTTGTATTTAAAGAATTTATGTGTTTCCCCTGCAAATTGCTGATGCTGGTAAGTTTTGCAGCAGGCACAGCTGCCAGCAGGTGTTTGACCCAAGGCAGGCAGGATGGGGCCAGCCCTGGCAGCAGGGATGTGGTGGAATGTTATCCTCCCTTTTTCTGAGCTCATAATCTCTTAGTAACTTTTGCTTTTCATTCTGTTTTGCAGAAGCCTTTGAAATCGTAGTTCGGCACGCAAGAAACTTCACCAACAGCATGTTTAGGACCCACTACCAGAGCATGGGGCCCAGAGCTCTGAAGTTTGTTGGAGAACTTTTTACTGATGTCTCTCTCTACATATTGGGCTCTGACATCAGTGTTAATAACATGATAAATGAATTTTTTGACAGTTTATTCCCTTTGGTTTACTCTCACTTGATTAATCCCGGCTTCCCCGATCCCTCTGTGGAAATGACTGAATGCCTGAGGGCAGCCAGGAGAGACCTCAAAGTCTTTGGTAACTACCCCAAGATGATGATGACGCAGGTGTCCAAGTCACTGCAGGCCACACGAGTCTTTCTGCAGGCCCTGAACCTGGGGATTGAGGTAATAAACACCACTGACCACTTAAAGTTCAGCAAGGACTGTGGGCGAGGGCTGCTGAAGATGTGGTACTGCTCACACTGCCAGGGGCTGCTCCTGGCCAAGTCCTGTGCCAGCTACTGCAGTGTGGTGATGCAGGGATGCTTGGCAGGCATGATGGAGATCGATAAGCACTGGCGAGAGTACATCGTGTCTCTGGAGGGGCTGACCAAAGGCATGCATGGCATCTATGACATGGAGCACGTCCTCCTGAACCTGTTCTCCTTGGTGCGGGATGCCATTGTCCACGTGCAGAAGAACGAAGGAAAGCTCTTGACAACTGTGAGTAGTTCTCTGTAGTTCCCCAAGCTCGCTGCCGTGGCAGGGCTTGCTTGTACCACGTAGACCACAAGGTCTATGTGTTGAAACCAACCTGTTCTTTTCCTCCAGTCAACAAACCCCAAGTGCTCCAATTACGCACTCCTCCCCTCCTGCTCTGTTTTTTTTTAAATTTTGGTAGCATTTAGAATCACAGAACCATCAAGGTTGGAGAAGACCTCTAAGATCGAGTCCAGCCATTAACCTGCCAACCTGCTCTAACCCCTAAACCATATCCTCCAGTGCCGGATCCAGACACCTCAAACACCTCCAGGGATGGTGACTCTACCACCTCCCTGGGCAATCTATTCTAGTGCCTGAACACCTTAACAGTAAACAAAGTTTTCCTAACATCTAATCTGTCTCAGCTTATGTCTGTTCCCTCTAGTCCTCCTTTGGAACCGGTGTTTGCAGGGCCTGGATTTCAGCTAAGGGCTTTGCCTCTTTTCAGGCTGGCCAGAGCAGAAGGGTCTGCACTCACCCTGGCATCAGCTTTGTAGCTGGGGTGTGAGGTTAGGAGCTGAGATATCCCAGCATCTTCAGTTCTCCCTGGGTGCTGTGCTTGCCTTGGGTGGCTCTGAAAGGCTGGTCCTGTTCTCCAGGTGTCCCCCTGTCTCCTTTAATATCACTAAAATGTACTTCCAAACAGATGCCAAGCAGAAGCACATGCCATGGCATCCCCTGGTGTAGCAAAGGAGATCTCATTTTTCCCTCTTTTGGTAACTCATTTCAGTTTTGGGCTGCATTTAATCTCAGGGATGAGATTATTTCTTATTTATCAGAAATGACTTGGCTCTTTATAACACATTGTGTGAATTTCTAAGCCTTTTAAGCAACTGAGGCTTTCTTGTTCTGAAAATCCTGCTGCTCTGTTTGACACCAAGGACAAATGTAGTGTGGTAATATGATGCTTGTTTTGCAGAGGAGATTTTTCCTGAGACACAGTTGAGCTGCTCCTTGTAGGTAAGGTAGAGTTGGGGATGGGGCAAAGGTGCAGGAGTGTTGTAATAGTTTGCTTACAGTCAAAGATGATTAAAATCTGACACTGCTTGTTCCTGCCATTCTTGACTCCTGTTTATAAAAGCACTGTGTTTATGTAGGTCACTGTACTACTTGCACTGTGAGTAACTCTTATCTTTTTTGGGGACTGTGGAAATGTATCAGCTTATGGATTTTGAGCTATGTGGCACTCAGCCAGCAGCACTCTTCCCTGCTGCTTTCTGTGCTGTCTTTGCTTGGTGATTGCCCAAGACATGCCACCAGTTACACAGGCTGGGAAATAATGTGGCGGCACTTGGGTGGTTTCACACCCCCTGGGTATTTTGGCACACGTGGAGTAAGCTCTCTCCATTGCTTAGAAGGGACTTAGGGACCAAATTACACTAGGTTGGATTACTCTTGTGTTATGGTGGCCAGGAAGAGGCTGTAGCTGAGGGCTGGGCTTGGTGTTGGTCACCTGAGCAGATGGTGCAGGCAGGACTTGTGTGCAATGTGTTAGGCTCCAGGGTGCAGTGCAAGACATTGACTTGCAACCTGCCATAGCCCCTTTCTGCAGACAATCCCTGTTTCACAGCAGCCTGCCAAGAATTTCTTGTGCAGGGAAGTTCCATCTGATGGTCCAGGACCAGCAGCTCTGCTGCCATGGAGCCAGGGCAGGTTCTCTTCTCCCATCAGTCAGAACCTGTCAACCCTCTCTGGAACAGAAAAGGAGCACAGATATAACTGTAGATTTGACTTGAGATCAAGTGAGATGGAGAATTCATGTTACAGGTGATAATGAGAGAAAACCCAGCTCAACTCTAAGCCCAGTTGGCATTTCCAAGGCAGTAAGAGACCAAGCTTAATTCTATATGTAGTGTGAGCCTATTTGATGTCGAAAGATCTGTTGACATGTTCAGCTGTGAGCAAAAGGATCCAACATGTTTTGCACCAGCAAACCTGCCATGCTTGTAGGTGCTGAGCAGAAATGTTGTCCTTGTGCATTGCTGTGCGATCCTGAAAGGATCAGTGTTTGTTCTCCCATGTCCTCCTTTATTGGCATGACAATAAAAATGCACTTTTTTCTTTAAGATGTCCATGTGTACAGTGAATGAACATGACTGTCACTTATATTATTGACTGTTGGTATCTTGGTCTGTAGACAGAGAATGTGTTTGTGGGAGGATGAGTACATGAAGTGCCACTGAAGTCAACAAAAGCAAGAGCAGTAGAGCCATGATCTGTTCATCCTCTGCCAAACCAGAACATAAATTGACTTCCTTTACAATAAAAAAATTATTGGGCATTGCAAAACCATTCAGTACTTTAGTACTTGATAGAGCTGTTTGAATTCATCAGTGCCGTATGTAGTTAAGTACTAATTTAAACAGAACTCCTCTTGATTATTTAATACTTGAGCGATTCTTTTATTTGCTCTAGAGATGTTTTTGAATTATAAGAGTGCAGAGGAAAAATATCCAAGCTAAGCAAGCCAGTTGCCTGGAAATTGTCACTGAAAGGGAATGGCCACTGGCTTTTTGAAGCTTGTTTTTAAAGCATTGATGTTGCTCAGCTAAGGCTCTTATGTCAAACCTGAGCCCAGAGCGACTTTTTTCATGAATGAATGTATGAGCTGTTCAGTGGAGGAATAAGGCAGTGATGGAAGCACTGACAGTCTTAACTCTAGTACTGCAGATGGCCTGATTCTGATAGCCAGGCTGCATCTGGGGTAAATATCTCTGCCTGTAAATGATAGAATGCAACTTTTTTATTTGGCTGTGCTGGAATGAAAGTTTCTCTGTTAAACTTATCAGCACATATTGAGTTTCAAAGAATATACCTGGAAGCAAACAGTTGTATTTACTGTTATCCTGTAAATATGATTGTTTTTAGACACCGTTGTCATATCAAAGTATGAAATGCCACAGGGGTTGTCTTTGTAAATGTGAAGCTTTACTCTTGTCCTGACTTCTCATATTGACCTCTTTTATTACCAACCTTGGCCACCGCTGTTTCTAGGCAAAGTGCAGTTCACCTGTAGTACAAATATTCACTTGGCATTAAGAATAATGACAGGTTATTTAATTGTCATTAAAATCCCATAGAATTATGGAAACCTTATCTTTCATGCCCATAGTGATTGTAGCCTGAACAACAACACTACTGCCTTTGCCTGTCTGTTGGGCTTCTTTGTTTTTTCATGGCATTGGTGGCATTAATGCCGCAGTAATTTTTCCTCCTGGTATTTCAGACCATTGGGTGCCACACCTGGATGAGCATCCTTCTTCCACATGGCTGTTCCTCATTTCCCCCTTGCCACCCACCTCTAGGTCGGGTGCAAACATTTACACAGGAACCTGGACCCCTTTATAGCTTGCAGCAGACCTGGCTACAAGGGACATATGAACTTGAGCTCCAGGAGTGTGCAGAGCTTCCAGGTAGGTTCTGAGAAGCTCTGCAGTGCCCAAGACAAGGAAGTCATACTGCTGTTAATCTGCTTATAGAAACTGTGTGTGCCTCCAGGCATCCATTTCAATGTGAGCCTCTGTGCTGTTCCTAGTCTGAAAACGGCAATGCAGAAGAGTGAATTCAGTAATATGGCAGTAAACAGTTCCTATCCCAAGACTTGCTTTAGTAGCTAATTTGTCAATGATGGTGTGTGTTAGAGCTTTATTATTTCCACAATTTGTCTGCTTAAAAACTTCACCCCTAAAACATGCTATTAAAATACTTTATCAAGGAGGCTGACTCTCAGGGCATGTTGGGAAAACATTTGCTGTCTAGGGCTATATCTGTATTAATTTTCCTATCTTCTACTTTTTCCCTGGTTGAAAATCTGCCTAGTACATCCAACTCTTGTAGATATTTTAATCATG